GTCAAGATTGAGAGGGTGTCCAAATATGCGTCGCGCCCTCCCTGCATTGTGAAGCGATGGCATCCATGAGGTGCTCAAAAACTGGCAAGAACCCAGCAGTAACATTGTTGTATAATTTTGATCTTACACGCCACTCTATAAAAAGAAAGCTTAATTTGAAAAATGTGACAGAACTTTTTCGCCAGCCCAATAGTACCTCCTTCGCGCGTCTGTGCGTAAAGGGATACAGAACCATTACTCTATTTTCTGGAGCACAAGGCGAAGCTTCGCTTGGAACGCCCGGATTCTTCTCTAATGAATATCAACAATCGATCCTATTTATACGTGAGAGAATAAGAACTACTAAGATTAGTTACGTCACGCAGGCTGACCTTCAGTCAATACCATCTGTCAAATATCTTTGAATCCTTAGAATTCAACTTCAATTAATGTGTTGACCATTATTGAGAATTCTTCTCCTATAAGTGGTCTATTCATCTTTTGGCTACCCTCCTTGCTGCTACTTAACCTCCTCTGAGGTGAGGTTCAAACTCATTCTAAAGTGGGCAAGCTGTACAAGATCACATCATGGTCGAGTGTATTTCTAATTCCTTATTGTGAAGGGCGCACCTCGATTGTATTCATAAACAAATAAATAGGAATTCGGAAACCAGGTGGGGGAAACTATGCAAAAGAGGCAGCAGAATCGTTTCTATGTTTATTTATTTATGTATGTATAGGTGAGGTATACTCTAGTTAGCAGCGGACGGTTAGGTGTGTCAGGCAGTATGAGTGTATCACGCCATCAAAGCCGTCCTCTACCTTCTTGTTGAAGCGTGCGTGCGACAAAAAGTGTTAGAAAACGAGTAATACGAACGATATGATACAGTCATATCCCTTGCTCGCTTAAACAACTGGTGGAGAACGGGTTCGGCACCGCGTCGAACTCATTCCTGACACACCCAACCGTACGCAGCGAACTACATTATACAATGTAAGCGATATAGGTCGGGTTATAAAATGAAACAACAATACGATAACAGAAGCACAAATATGGATACAAACACATCCAAATTAGGGAGCTCTCTTGACTTTGTTTCCAAAATCCTGAAAGTCTATCTAGACTAATGAGTCAGCCTTTTTGATTGTCTTCTGAACGCGAAGGTGTGAAGGTCTAATGGCAGCAACTGGAGCCATCTTGCTCCACGGAAAATGGTGAGTCAAAAAGCCTAGTTTGCTGGCAGGCATTTTAAGAACAACGAGGAGATAAGTTCCTTGGTCTAAATAAGCAACACTAGACACAATGTCATTTAACACTTTCTATACATTAACAACTTGGGGTTGAAAAGATGTAAACATCCACTGTAGTCGGGTAAGCTACGCGTCAGGGCTTAACAATTTTTCGCGTCCGTTGTTGCGCACAACTGCGAATACGCTTTATACTCCAGAAAATGGAATTCTCAGTGTCACCTGGAAGAACAAGGTTCACGAAACTTCAATACGCGCAACGCTCTGGAAATGTTCTATTGAAACGCTGCACATTAACTAATAATACTCCTGAGTCTGCCTTACCGAGAATAATAGACGGAGCTTATCATCAACGTAAAGCCCTTTAACATTGGGAAGCAGAGCGGTATGGGGATCTCAAGCTGCCCTGAGCTTTGTAAGTCCTGTTACCTGGGAGGCATTAGCTTTTGACAGCCAGGTGGATAACGATTTCCTTCACGTCGCGGAACCTGCGACATACAGCGCTCGCGGCCGTTGCTTTTATCGCCACTTCTCTTTCGCTACCTCTTCTGCTACCCCCTAGACTTCAGCGTATATCCTGTCTCAGCCAAGGTACGGTGCGGCTTTGAAATCGTATTTGTTAGCGGTGCTTACTACAGTGGACAGTGGCCTGCTCCTAACTACAGTGGACAGTGGCCTGCTCCTAACCCTACCTGGTCATGGATCTGACCATCCATGGATTTCCCCAACAGCCGAACGCGATCAACAGTTTATCCCTCCGGCTACTCACCGTGGCCTGGGACTAGCCATCCTTGGTGGAATAGGTGTGGGCCCGACCATTGTTCCGCAGGATGAGCACTGAGTCCAATCCCTGGAATCAACAGTGAGAGCGGCATACCGCGAATATTTAAATAAAAGCACTGTATTCGCGTCCCACAACTAACAAGGGAACCCAACATGTTGATCCGCCCGTTTGCAATGAGATGTACAAATATGGACGTGCCTTGAGCCACTGAATCCAAATCTGCCCTCGGAATTTGCAAAACGATTCTCTTTGAGGAGTTACGGACCATTTATTCTTTGCTCTGTCCGCACAAGTTGGGAGCCGATTCTCCATTTCTGGTTCCTTTTGAAAACTTTTATTATGAGGATAACCGTTTCCGGCATCAAGAAATGGGGATCTTACGGTTTAAGAGCATATGTACAACTTTTTGTGGTTATGTAGGTCTGTTGCACGCAATCCATATTATCTACATTTGCCCATAATATATTTTTCAATACATGAACGGGACTCCATCAGTTCACATCGTTGGTTGGGGAATCCCCAACAGGGGGATCGTATTTGGCCGCCAGGAGAGGGGGGGGGTCGTCGTGCGTGCGGCAGCCCAGTAACGAGCAGCGCAAATTGTCAATGTGCTGAGTCCTGCACAGCGGATCTTGCTTTGTAGAGAACTCGGATATGCAATAAAAATAGTACAAAACTTTCATTCATCAAACTAATCCGAAAACACTGCAAATATTAATAAGTCGACATTATCTCGTAAGTCCGTTGGTGACTAAACAGGCAACTCAAACTCTGGTTCGCTGCCAATGATATGGCGTTCGGCGGTCGCGCCTGGCGCTGAGCCAACCTGTTTTTTCTCGACAAGCGACAGGACTACCATATCGTTCGTATAGACGTTTTCCAGCAGTTGGTCTCCTTTATCGGAGTCAGCAATAGGCGGAGCACGAATCTGGCAGCGTCGACAGGGACACGTTCCATCATACGCAACGGAAAACACTGTAAACAAGTGCACAGACTCGCCATGGACCTCCCTGAACCCTATACACATTTATAGACACATTTGCTCGCGTAGACAGGCATTACGCACAAATTGTCACGCAATCCTTTCACCTCTGGCGGACCTCAGTGCGCGGCGCATCCAAAGTCAGCGTGATCGGCGCTAAAAGAACCATATTCTGCTCCTGCTCCACCACAGGATACGTTTTTCATGCGTTCCTGGTTACTCGAACACGCTCACTTGAAACAGTACACAGGAAACGGTTTTTCGCGCAGCTGGGAGTGTTCCTCAAGAAATCCCCATCGCGAGATCTCATGAATCCCGAGAACTTCAGAAACAGTTCAAGAGGTTTTTAGAAAGAGGAAATCTTGAAACACTCCAAACAGTTCTCAGATTTGTGAAATGTTGAGTTACAAAAAAATGGTTCAAACCTGTTCAGTTGAAATCACTCCCCAACGAATCTCCATGGCAGATTTCTCTCTGATTTTTGCGACCTTCATAAACGTTTCAGTACTTTTAGGAAGTGCAAACCTTCCTCTGCACGAATACGGTCTCCTCTTCCCCACAGGTCCGCTTTTGAGGAAGTTATGGTCCTTCAAATGCACACCACTTTGCTGAAAACTCGCGTTCCACATGGCTGGTCCCGCCCAGAATCCCTCCCCCGGTACCTCGGCCTTTAATCAGCTGATTGTGGCTAGTTTGCTCTCGTTCGTGTTTACTCTTTCGTATTTATCTTCTTTTCGGTTTATTCGAATATCGAATATTTATCTTCTTCTAGTTTACTCGAATACACCTCAGAGCGCGCCCCAGCAATTTTGCTTGGTCCGCTCACCTCAGAGTGCTCTTACATAGGAGGAATTGGCTTGATTTCCTGTTTTTTTTTCCTTTTAATTGCAATTGATTTAGGTACCAGAGTTTGTTTTGACTCGAGGGAAGCTGTGTGAAACCTAATGGCCTTTCTTTTCTATTCTCTTTTCTGAATTAGGATAGAAATGAGCAAAAAGCGAGGGAGCCTCATTCAGGATTGTTACTTTTTCCATTTTTCGCGCTTACTTATACATAAACTCATGAAGTTTCTTCCTCCTCGGGAGAGGGAAGCGGGGAAGAAACTTCATAAGTTCAGGTATAGGGGGGTCGTACCGAACCCCCAAAAAGGGGAGGGGGGTCGTACGGGCTCCACCAAAATTCCCATCGAACTGTGCCCTGGGCTCCATTCTCCGTCTTTCATCTCTAGTCTATTTTCAAGTTCGCTCACCTAGATTCAAAAACTTCTTATCCTAATCTTGGTACTCGGCTGGATACTTCGAAATACATCCTGGTAGATTTTGAAACACCTCTTCATACCGCTTCCTCTCTGGACTGGTGGAGAACTGTAACTGTATGAAGAGTACTTTGTCGGCTGTGCCATTGCGGAAATTCGTATTATTTCTATCATGTGGAAGGATACCACAGTGCTCTTGAACCGTAAGATCCTCATTTCTTGATGTAAGCTCTAGAAACGAGTCCTTATAATAAAAGTTTTCAAAAGGAACCAGAAATGGAGAATCGGCCGCCTTCCTTAGTCAAACAATTAAAGAGCTAGGTAAATTGGCCAAACAGGTGTTTTAGGGATTCATATGAAGTGTTCTAAACAAAAGCAGAAATTTCCAAGAGTCAAGGGCTCCAACATGCGACATCGCGTGTCGGAAGCAGTGCGCTTATCCACTACGTTATAGGCCACTTGCCGCACGTAGTTATCGTTCCCAACCTGTGCAGACAGAACAGAGATTAAATGGTCCGTAACTCCCTTCAGAGAATCGTTCGGCAAATTCCCAGTTCAGATTTGGATTCAGCGGCCCAAGGCACGTCATAGATGTACATCTCGTTGCAAATGGCCGGATCGACCTGTTGGGGTTCCTTTGTATGTGAATTGACCTGCTGGGGATCCCTTGCCACATCACCCATAGGTTTTTGAAATTAGCCCAAATGTTGGTCGGAGGTCGTCATCGACAGAATAAAGTGCATTGTGTTTAGATGTCCAGAAACGTCGAGATCAAGGCCAAAGTGCGAAATCGTGACGAAATCACGCGTTTAGCACAGGAACTTACTGGCAAGCAGCCAACTATTCTACGACAGCGTGATATCTTCTACAACTCTCCAGAGGGTCGTCTCAAAATGCGTACTGTGGAAGAGGGTGGAGCGGTATGTGCTTTCTTGCATTTTCTTTTTCTTTTCCTGCTAACTTTTTTCAAGGAGTTCAGCTATTTTGTGAATCGCTATATATAGCGGAATTTGTTTGTGTGTCTGTGCGTCTATCTGACCGCTTGAATTTGGGGTTTTGTGGGAATACACTTCAAGAGCAGTGATTGTGCTTGGAATAGACGTGACATGGGCCAGCAGTTGCAGAGCGCACACGACGTCACCTAAGCTCCGCCACTATGGGAGGAGCGTTCGCCTAAGTGGACGAAACCGAGGATTAAAATCCTCAAAACGCAACCGGAGCAGCCCAGGAAACGGGGAATGTAATGAAACTGAGCAATGGGTAGGTAGATGATTTGAGAGAGAGACAACCGTAAGACACCCGATACTCTGCAAGTCCTTAACACTAATGAGGGGACCCTATGGCTCAGAAGTTGATTCGGTCATGACTTTCCAGGTACGCTCGGAACTAATCTGGTACGATCGCCCAGACGTAGCGGGGCCGAAAGAGAGCAAGTTCAACAAGTTCGACGTCCCTGAAGGAACTCTTGAAGCATTGAAGGTGGGTACATGTGCATGTTTCTGCTAGTTGGTTTCAGATTAGCATAGAGGTTGCGATATGTAGGTTGACAGGGATAAGTCGACAAAGCAGTATCATTTAAGAGTTTTCGTATGAACAAAATGCAGCAAGTATGATAACTATATGGACCTTTGTCGTAGCTGTCAGAGCAGAAGTATATGAAAGTGGGCATACCTACATGGCCTACATGGGACGCCTCCGAGAGAGACAGCCATGTCGCAGCGATGCTATCATTAGCCGTTTAAGCTGCGGGAGATGATGCACTAGGTATCGGTTTCCATTGACACTAGGACGCTCTCAGATTGTTATCGGAATCTTCTTCTTCTTCTTCTTCATAACTAATGAAAGGTGCCATCGAGCTGGATATCCCGCCTTAAACTGTGCACTGAAAGATATGTGAGGTGTATATGCACCGCACTTTGCTCTTGCTACTGGGATGAGCTTACTTTGGCGGCTTCATTGTCTGCTAAGTGTCGCTTTTGACCCTCCTCATTGTGACACAGAGCAGTGATTCAGTAGGTTCACAAACCCCTCGAACCTTATCCACCTAGCAGTTCCATGAATCAGTTTCATCGTAAGGAACTCTCAGACCCAACATATCAGAACTTTTCGGGCTTCCAAAACGCTTCTGTATTCAGCTCCCGCTGGTCTGATGGCAACGGTTGCAACCTCATTGTTCCATGGTAAAATATAAAACTGAGAGCCTGGTAGTGGGTCCTAGTGGGTTCTGTTCAGTTCAAAACATTGTAAACGCGGCTCTTGCTCGTTCCGAATACCCAAAACTTAGTCGGCTTTGACCTCATGTCTCTTTTTGACAGTTTGAAACAGAAAGCAATATCATTGGAAACTCTTTGTACAGTAATTAACTGGGTATGCAGGACCAGCATGCATTAGCTACCAACTTGGCAAGCTGCTAAATATTCGAGTAAGTTATGGAGTTACCTTCGGAGCTGATTGTTGGGAAGTAGTGGGAGAAAAGAGAAACTTTGGCAGAATCTGTAAAGCTTGATGTTCTATAACGTTCCTCGAGGGTTACCGCCTGGTGCGCTACAGGGCGCATTTAGAACATGGAATCCAATTACCCCTCTCTAAAATGAACCACTAACTTTCGTGTCAGTTTGTACGTGTGGTAAGTCTGCTTTTCGGATGGCTAGCAAAAAATGAAACCAGTATGAGTTGAGGTGCCAGTCGGAGTCAGCCTGCTTTGCTTGCGATGGCATCCTTATGTGCAATATGAGACATCTACTGCAGCGCAAAAAGAACTTGCAAGAAGCCAAAGTTACGCGATGCTTATTAGTTTCCTAGACTTTCAAAGGCACATGAAAACTTTGCCTGCCATGTTCAAGTGCGCTTGACAAGGCTAATCCAAAAAATAGAGTTGGTTGGACTCCAGCAACTTCGGCACCGAGCTCATTTTTAAATTACTTAAGTCGCCAGACCCGCTGAAAATATGTACACAAGGGTTATTTACCATCCTGATTACAATTATGACACTCATTTTTGGCGCTGGCGCCAAGGGATGACACTACGATTACCTCTCGGGCTCAGCCTTAGCGGAGCGCAGGTAATCGTAGTGTCATCCATTAGCGCCATAACCCGGCAAGAGTGAATGTCACAGTTCGTAATCAGGATGTTAAACTACCTCCTACATACAAGTTTTAGGGATTTGGTAACTTAGAGGCAATTTAAAAAATGAGCTCGGTGAAGTTTGCTGGAGTCCAAACGGCATTAGCCCTTTCATTGGCACCCGCCCTCTCAGCCCATTATAAGACAGACGACTCCTAGTAAGGAAGTGGGTAGAAACATCGTGTTGTCGATGCAGGGCACATCGTTGTTGGGGAATCCGCCATAGGGGTGGGGCCGTATTTTGTCGCCAGGAAGGGGGGGGGTTGTATTGTGGATGAGAAAATTTATTTTGATAGTTGATTTTTCTCGTTTCATGGACGTTGTAAAGGGGGGGGTCGTTAGGGTCGTATTTACGTCTTTGCGTTGTGGGAGTGGCTGTTTGAGTTGAACTTTGGTGATGTTCCTGTCCCATGTGCACTATATGCCCCCGCCGCCCCCGCACGGCTCGATTCGAATGAGGAAGGACAGAGGGCGGGGGGGGGGCATCGTACGCAACTCCAAAAAGAGGGGGGGGGGTCGTATAGAGTCACTAAAATCCCTAACTCAGTGATGTCCCCTGTGTCGATAAGAAGTCAGCTGTGATCAAGTGCGGCGACCATTGTCGCCCCACAAAAACCATCCGCGTGATCTCGTCCGATCACATTCTTCGACCGCACTCTGTACAACTTGCGCTTGCTAGGGTTTCACTTGGAGCATTTGCGACCATTTTTTCTCGTTTTTTTTCACCACCACTGACTTCCTTAGCTTACTGACATCGCTGTTTGAACACCACTACCCATAATATCTGATCGCGGGCTTTGCCTTTGAACTCGTGGTCAGGACAGATTTTTGAAAGTATTGCTGTAGGGCACACCGCCACCACTTCGGTATTGCACCAGTTCCAAAATGAATGCAAGGCTCTGGGCGAACATAGAACATAATAATATTCCATTGTGAGAAGAAGGATGCGGATACGCAGACAGATCTGGTCCTTAGTTTGATGGGCCCCACGACTGACACACGGCCGCCACGAACCACGAAAAATATCCTAGAACTGTGGGAATCGGCAGAACGATGCGAAGCTTTATTGGCTTGGGAGATAAAGTATGCTCTGTTGACAAATCATTTCAACGATGCTGCACGTAGTTCACTTCCATTTAGAACCGTATTGGCCCTTGGTTCACCTACCCATGCGTAGGATTATGAGCGCAGCCGGTGTGGAAGCCGCTGTTTTTGATATCCTAGAAGAGTCTGGCATCCCTAAGTTATCCCTGTTGCGATGGAGCCTGGTTGGCTCGAGCGGAAGCAGATACGGGATCCACCACACTAATAGTAAATGGCGCCACTTGCCAATACACTGCCTCCGCTCTATCAAACTTATTATTATGCTGTTGCAGTATATTCCTACATATGCTCCTAATATTGTTGGTCCAGAGAACAACGAGTAAGTAAAAACAAATGAAAATGCCGCTATAACTTTGGTTTAAACAAAATTTTCTCTGCTACTGTAGCTAGTTTATTGCCATTAGCTGCCATTCCTGCTCGTGCTCAAGTTGCATCGAGGTGCTCATATTGCACGCGGTGGGGGGGGGGCATATTGCAATGAAGCGACATTTAGGAAAACTGCGATAGCCTTATGATTTCGATTTTGACTTGCCTTGGTACAGCGATTATGATAAGACCTACAACACCCTCCTCTGCAATGTAGAATGGCCTGATATGTATCAGTGTATCTTATGAACCATTTCACGATAGACATCAATGATTTCTGTATGGTGATAGGAACTAATAAGGAGGTATAGGTAGGATCAGAAAAGAAGTGCTACCAACTTCACTGCGAGCGTCACAGGAACAGTAGCGCCATAGTTACCACGCAGGCGTAGCAAGCAGGGTAGATGTATGGATAGTACGGGGACTTAGCTCAGCAAACAACTGTCGTTAAACTCCTCATGCCCTCCCCCCCACGATGATGCTGCACCTCTCACACTAGCACCAAATAAATGTGCTAGGACGAGGGCATCTGAAGATCATGCCACTTAACGATGCCCACCGAGAAGAGATCACAAGGACCAAGAAAAATTATCTACCATGGCACGCCATCGCTTTGTGATCATTTCCCGCTAAATACGACCCCCCCCCCTCAAAAAAAGGGTCCTAGTACGACCACCCCCCCCCCTATTCCCCTGTCACGAGGCTACAAATGAAAGGAAGCGCAAAAGGGACGAAGAAAATGACAATAAGGAGAACTGGGCGCTATTAAACTATTCCTACGCCAAAGACTCAAAAACACTTATGATGAAACTTTGTCTATCGATGTTAATCGATGTCCTCATCACGAGTGTGACATCATTCCTCCATACTAGTGCTATTTGGCGCTTCTGCTGAGGCTGAAACTGAGAAAAGGGGAAGGTTTGTTGCAGGTCGGGCTCAGTCTTACAAGGGAGGTCGTTTCAGGCCGTCGTGGAGACTTTTTCAAAACGATTTGTGCCATGTTGTAAGGGTCCATTGCGAGGACATAGCGATGAGGTTCATTTTTGCTAAACGGTTTTGGAATGTCAAAAAAATGTCAAAAACAATTCAAAAAGAATGGGCTTTTTGAACCACCTTATTCCCTCTATTCTAGCTGTAGCCGTTGACAGTGTATTGGTATAATATAGGTATTCTTCGAGCAGGCATGAAGAACCAGCGCAAAATAAGGTCAGAATTTAAATGGCTCTGCTTGGCATGTGGGAGCTGCATTGGAGTTTTCCGGTCATCTGCGCATATCTCTTCTCACAGGTCCGGTATCGCTGAGTTCGGAAGTGGCAGGTGGTGTAGTGGATAGTGCGGCGGGCTCTCGACGGTGGGTCTGCTGGATCGGGCCCCTCCCCGACGTGTTTTTGCCATTTTTCAGATTTCCTTTGCTTCTTGTATTCCTGTATGCCCATAATGTGTATGACCGGATATACGCCATCTGAAGGCACTTCCATGCCTCGGAACGGTTTCACAAATAGGCCTCACTCAATTATTACCGTCGCGAATACTATCGAAAAAACTCTCATGAAAATTGGTTACGGCGGTTATCCGATGCTCTGTATCATCAACACGACACTCATTTTTGAATATGGCGCAATGTGTCGCTAATTTTGGGCAAGAGGCTTTCTCGCTACTACCATCATTGTCAGTCTGCCGCGCGGGGCTATTTAGCGGAGTACCGGCCCAGATGGCCTCCGCGCGCAAAAATTAGGTATCTGAACCATGATCAGGACCATCAATTATCCCCTACGTTAGAGTTACGCCGAGAAAAATTTTAACGAGCTTTTTGTGTTATGTTGCCGTCCATGTCTCGCAGCTAGTGGCTAATCAGCCCCCCCCCCCCAAGGAGTCGCTATCCATCCACACTCGTCAAGAGGAAGATTTTCATTTGCTAGTATGCAAACGCAGAATTTAAAACTACACAAAAAAGTGACGCACAGTCACGTCCTTCTCTCATACCTTTTATATGAGAAACAAAACCTTTTCTTCGGGCAAGTGGTAACGAGTTCTTTCTCGAAAGCATAGACGGTAAAAGTGAAGAAAAGTCAGGATGCTCGTTTAGTGGCTCGAGTAAGATGCTATGAAGACCTACTGAGTTGAGGGGCAAGAAATGAAAAATTTGTGGCGGTTCGTCCGCCAGAGAGGATACTCAACGGAGGGTTCGCCTGTCACTGCCATCCAAGGGGTCAGGTCCATGACCACTGAAGAAACTCGGAAAAAAATTTTTCGCTGAAACCTCCCAAACAGGGGTAATCAATGGCCCTGATCACGATTCTGACAATTATTTATGGCGCCGACGTGATATGGGGCCAGCGTGGCCACTGCGAGCCGAAGGGATGCTGCATAAGCCCCTAAAGAAATTACAGTGTACCTCACTGTATGCCAAGTATGGCACCTGTATTTCGACATTAATCAATGTTCTTTTTCATGTCTGGTTGAGAAACACTTTATAAACTCTATGTATTCTGCTTTACAGCTGAAACAGATGCGAATGAGATGATAAAACTTGCGTTTTTCAAGCGATTTGTTTTTATTCCTTTTTTGACATTCCCAATAGCGTTTAGCAAAAATGAAACCCATATGTGTGGTCCTTGTATGGACCCCTACAACATGCAACAAATCGTTTTGAAAAAGCTCACCACGGCCTGAACGACCTCCCTTGTTAGCAAAGCGCAGATGACCATAGTGTCCTACTTTAGCACTGGCGCCAAGAATAAATGTCATAATCGTAAGCAGGATCTCGAATAACTCCCTATACAAGTTTTCATCGATTTTGGTGTTTTGGGGTATTTTGGCCCCGGCGCACGTGGCGGCGCCAAAATATCCTAAATCACCAAAATCGATGAAAAGTTTTTGGCAAAGCGGGTGTGATATTCGTGCGGGAGGTCGAAATACTACTGTATCCAAATTTCCGTCCAAATCTGCCCCTCTAGAAAAAAATCGATAAAAAATCGGGCTGATTTTGGCAGACTGGGGTAGAAATAGTTCGACAGTGCCAAGCACTACAACAGTGCTACCTAGAAAACTATAGAAAACAAAAAAGAAAAGTAAAATACCAAAAAAACGACAAAAAAATTCACCAGAAGTTCTAGGAACTAGAACTATGGATTAGCTTTTGAATATTAGTTGTTCGCGGCCAATTTCAAGCCAAACGCTCGAGAAGTACCTCTCGCTTGAACACCTATAACATCTTTGAGAAGCGAGCTTTCGAAGAGGGAAAAGCAGTAACGTAGAGTACTAGGTTGGCTCTTGTTACCTGGGTTTGAGCGATTTCAGAAACATTCCTTTTCTAGAAAATTTCTCCGTTATGATCCTCCCGTGATCCTAGGGGATCATCCACAAGTCCTATGGCCTTGAACAGCCAACAAGCTTCATACAGAGCCATTCGTAAAAAGAAAAACTGCGCCGGAAGCTCGAAGCTCTCTACTTTCCAGCAGAGCTTTCATTTTTTGGCCTGCTATTCGAAAAATCCCCCGTCGTGATCACTCCGTGATCACTGCCCCACGACATAAAAAATCAACCCTCCGATGCCATGAAATCTCCTGTCGGCCTAAAGACTTTGGTATGCTTTTAAAACGCTTTTGCCAAGGATATCAGGAAATAGTCATTGGGCGCCAATTGGCATCACCTCTGTAATGCGCCATGCATAGTTCTTTCACGCAGAGCTATCGGAAGGTGTAACTTCTGGAAAGGGGTTCTTCCCTGCAAGTAGATGTGCTTCTGCGGCAGAAAGGTCCGGAATTGTATCTTCATCTGTTTGTTAGTTCATGGTGGATATTCATTGGCGCGGAGGTGGTGTAATGACAAGTGGCGCGCTTACCACTCGCGCGGTCCTGGGTTCGAATCCCAGGTCGACACCCGCCCAGGCAACCAAGCCTTCTTTCCTACCGGGACTTTAAGATGGTGCAGGCCACGCAAGTCATTGTACAAGCAACATCGCATTCAACAAGCCACTGCGATTCTGAATGGAAATAGAATGCGTGCCGCATCCCACAAAAGGGTTGATCAATGGCGGAGACTTCATCCTTTAGCTTTTTATAAATTCATGACGTGTTGTGGAGGCCATCGTATTTTCCTTGTCATCGCCCGTCCCCCACAGGCAGGTTGCTTCTGTCTTGTGTGAGTCTCTCAGAGGTTCTTCACATGGGTAATATTGATCATTGAAGCGGAACGACATCTGGGGTATCGCTGCAACCCTCACTTCAGCGCTTACGACCCCCCCCCTCCTCAAGGTCAAATTACGACCCGCCCCCCCCCCGGGTGGTGATGATCACAACGATGGCGTGGGCTGCATGGCTACAACCTCCCGCAAACACTGCCCTTTAACTGCTACGGATCAATACAGGGCACACCATACATATCATGTACGATGGGGATATCGATGAGTCCCTATGACCCCCCCCCGCTCTGGAAGGTGTAAAATTACGATTCTCCCACCCCCCCCCCTTCCCCCCCATCCTACCCAGCACTTTTTCGATTTCAGATTCTCCCACCTTCCTACCACTTCATCCAGAATTTCCCGAAAATTTCCTGGAACAAGAAAAGATCGACTGCCAAAAAAATTTTCTTAGTCTAGTACGACCCTCCTCTCATCCACGACCCAGCGACCAATACGACCCCCCCCCGACTCAGCTACGGAAATTCCTGACGGATGATGTGCTCTGGATCAGTATAAGCTCAAATGTTAGGTGCTAGAGACGCGCACACATTATTATTTATGTGAACAGTCATGGTGGTCATAGCGCAGTAATACGGAGTGTAAAGAAATACCGCATCAGATAGTCTATCGAATGCTTCGTTTCAGATCAACTCTTCATTGTTCAATGGGAATCAAGGAGAGGTGAAGAAACTCGAACGTCTGTTCATGTATGTAAAACGCGCATCCATATTGATTCTGTCGAAGGCCTTGGAGACTTCATGGAGCTGGGAGGTCGGTGTACTGGCGTTGTTTGGATGCCACTTTTAACATGAACATCGCTTTCGAACGCACCCTTCTAGGGATTTGAGTCGTTCTCCCCGCACGTTGTACATAGGACTGGGTTTCTGAGAGGGAGTGGGTATAGTAATGAGGCGGAGAAACTGTGAGCTACAAGACTGGAAACGATTGCTTTGTTGTTGTTGTTTTTTTAGTAGAAGAAACTCATTTGGCATTCACCCCTTCCTCTCCATCTGAAACACATGTAAAATAGTGTTAGAAACTGAAAAAAGTTCGATTGGCTGAATGAATTTGATAGATAAATAATAAAGACATCCTTCGAGTCGCAAATGTTAGGGTAATTTCCTGATCTGCGATAAAGAAGGCCCTGTCCGAAATGAGCCCGGAAGCATTGAGACGACTTTAAGTAAAGATTGGTGATTAACACAGTTGATTAATTGTTCGCGAATCAGGGTATTAGAATGCAGGAACGAGCTCTTCCCGGTATTTTCATCAACCGTTGTTCACTCTGAGGCCACTAGTCACGTCCTCCCTTCCGACACCTCCGCATTATTTATTTGTTTATTTGTTTACTTATGCGTACATAGAAAGTCGTTCTGGAGGGAGTTTCAAAGTTTCAAGTCGAAGTTTCATGAGCCAGGCTAAGAGCCTTTCATTTTATGATTTTCTCCATAACCTTGACAGGAGTGGCGCAAGGCTGAGTTGGGCGGAAGTTGCTTAGTGTGTTTAATATTGGAGGACTTCTGGATGGTGTGATAATACATTCTTTCCACAGCTGAGCGGACCTCACCTGTGAGAAAGGAGAGGTTAAATTCATAGCCAGAGGCTTGCACAGCGAAAGTAACATTTTCTGTAAATTATTAGGTTGTCCGGAAAGGAATGCGCGTTCGAGCTTAAAAAAGTTTTTATTATAAAAACGAAATTAAACAAGATAAATTCAAAAAGACAATCTCCATTAGTATCAATGACTTTTTCTAAACCTTTTTTCGCGGTTTGTGAATTCTTCTCTCGGCCAGGGAGTTCTGCATCGACCGAAACAGATGGTAATCGATGGTGCAGTCTGATCTGTGTGGCGGATGAGGAAGGAACTTTCCAGCCCAATTCCTCAATTTTTTTCTAGAGTGATTTTCGCTCAACATGTGATGAGCGTTGTCGTGGATAAATTTTGTGTCGACGTCGTTTCGACAACTTTGAAGACGCAGTGCTGGATCCATGCGGTTCAATTGGTGTTTGCAGATGTCCGCCTAACCGTCTGACCCGCGATTCCGACTGTCAAAGTACATCAAACCTTTGCTATTCCACCGAACACGGAGAATCACCTTTTTGCCGCGTATATCAGGATTCGGAGTGCGTTTTTGAGGGTCACTGGAGTCTAACCACTGTCCTTTTCTCGTTGCGTTATCAAAGCAGACCCTTTTCTCATTTGATGTAATAATAGAGTCAATAAACCGCTGTTCTTGGAGCGACGAAGAAGAATTCCGGCCATTGCCACTCGTGTTGCCTTGTTTGCGTCGCTTAGCTGGTGCGGCACCCGCTCTTCCCAACTTTTTCCCCCAGAAAAAGCAAAGTAGACATGGACAAAAATATATCAAAAAAAAGCACAATAAAAATCTCTTTCTAATAGACAAAACTGTCTCCAAAAATCTTCTATAGTAGGAGAGAAAAAAATGGACAAGTTCAAAAAATTCAACGCGCATTCCTTTCCGGACAACCTAATATCTGAGGGATTCCATCGTAAGGCTCACTAGGAAGCCTCTTCAGGATGGTAGAGCATCAGGATCAAAGGAGAAGTCTGTGAGGCTATCAGCGACATGAGGGAAGTGGGAGAGATCCCACTCATGAGAGAATTTGGACGTGGAAAAATGAATAGCCAGTGCATCTGCTTTATCCGCATCGCTCTGTCTACCTTACCCGTTTGGTCAGCATGTACAGGGAGGAGGTGGTTCGGCTTCAGCTTCTGCCAAAAATAGTGAAAGAGCCGTCGCAGTGAAGCTTGGGATCCAAGCCGGCGCTCATAGTGAGGAACTTCCTCCGATGATGGTTCAAGACAGAGCACACTTTCCCGTAGAGAACACTGCCAAGAGGGGAGCTCAGTTCAGATAAGAGGCGTTCTTTTTGCTGTACTAAGTTGCTTATATGGAGGGAATATTTTAGACCAGATCTTCTAATGGACTTGAAAGGAGCAGTATGCGCAAGCCCATTTCCTAGGGTTGTGTACACAACCCTACAGAACCTCTGGTATACCTGGTATATGTCATCCACAGAGAAATACTGATCAAGAAGAGCCCACCAGTCTATGCTTAGGAAATAATTGTTGAGGGCAGTAAAGTCAGTGTTCAAGAAATCAAGGTCTGGGAAAATCACAAGGGGGCTTGATTCTTCGAGAAGGTTAAAGGAGACAACGTTATGGTCTGATGTAGCGAGCGGAGGTAAGACCGAAACGTCCAAGATATTGTGAGACGCTGAAAGTAAAAGATCGAGGACATTTCCATTGTGAGTGGGCTGCTTGACATGCTGTTCCATACCACATCCGAAAGAAGTCCATATAAGCAGCAGAAGCAGAATTTAATGCACTCGGGCTATTCCATTCAACTTGGAGATTAAGATCACCAAGTATCACAGTGCTCTCGCGCACAGGCGCTAGGTCACCGTGCACTTCAATTAGGGCATCATCTTTGGGCAAATTAGGTGGGCGATATACCGTAATGAGGCGGGTAAAGGGGGACCTCGTCGGGAAAAACAGATCAAAACAGAGTCCATCAGCTTTCCCAGCTGTAATGTGAGTCACGAATTCGTCATGAATGTTCCCTTTAACGAAGCAACAAACACCTCCACCCATCCTGCGAGACCTGTCATGGCGATGAAGTATGCAGGGAAGAGAACCAACTAACTCAGAATCAAGAATAGTGCCCTTCAACCAGGTTTCAGTGACACACAGAATATCAGGTTTATTGTGAGATAAAAGAATGCAGGTGAATCAATTGTTAACTTAACTTTGAGCAGTCAGTAAGTAACATCGCAATCGAGGGTAACCGTGCGAGCTTATGGGTTTCCCGATGTCCTATTGGGAAGACTGGAAACATATGTGAGTGCTCCCTTATAGATAGCCCATTCTTTGACACTGTTCCCTTTCTTGCGCTCACGGGCAATTTGCCTTAGCTCGTACTCGCGCTGCCTTTTTTCAGGAGTCATGCTTTTACGTATGAACACCCAATGGAAGCTGCCACTCCGGACATTGGAAAGCGCAGTGCGCCAATGGAAGTACGACTTTCACGAGCCGTGGACGTTTGGGATCGCGCTTGCCCATTCTGTAGACTTCACAGGGACGGCACTCAACCTTAAGAATATCTAGAACAGCGAACTTTCCCTCAAGATCGTTTTGACAATCCGAAGGGGAAGGCCTTCATTGGGCTCCTCTAAGCCATACACAACAATGGTACGAGCGCGCTTTTCGTTTTCAATAGCCTCAGTAAAGTCCTGAGGAATTTTCTCAGACAGCGCACTGAGCAGAGGGCTAAGTAGAGGGTCCATTTGCGCTCATTGATGATCCTGAGAAGATCTGCGGCTGAGAGTTTGCCAACATCGAGAGCTCCCCCTTGGCTACCATTCGCCTCCTGGGAGCTCTCGACAGACTTAGAATCATTGGGGCCATTCTTTTTAGCCGCCGTGCGTTGACTCCTACCCACCATTGTTCTATGATCTACCAGTAATCGAACAGGACGGGAGGAAACGTAAGCACTGGAACCAGAAAATTAATAACGTAGGAAAACAAAAACAAGTAAAAAATAGCAGAGAGTAAGTAAAACAAAACAGCAAGGAAGGTATAAAGGTGAAGTTTGAATATACTAATGCAAGAGTAGATATGAAACAAAATTGAGAAGGAAGAACGCTAAAAGCGACCGCCACGTAGCCTGGGGTAGTTGAAAGATTTGTTTTAAGTTTAATCGTTGAGGAGGACACTTTCTCCTGCAGGTTTAAACATCATGAATCGCAGAAAAAAATTATTATTGAGACGATCAGGATCTATACCTCCATTGAGTGGGTAAACGTGAGGCTGACCTGGTTTAGCACTCGCTCCAATTACTTTTCTCCAGCATTCAGTAATATCTTCTGCGAACTTCATCATTCATTACAAAAGAAAGCGACATTGTGAGCGCTTCTGTTAGTTTTGATAATTCAATTTGGATTACTGCGAAGTCAGTTTGCGGAGCGAAGGTGACCTTCGTTGTTCTTGAATTTCTCAACAGCCAGAGTAGCCAACCGATTCATCAACCGGAGGCTTTATATCGATGCTGTTCACGAAAGGTTTGTTCAAATTGAACGAGGAGAAAAACAGGTGGAGAAATAATTTTTGGTTTCAAGTTGAGTAGCTTCCTTTTCCATCAATGATCCGCTCACACTTCCAGTGAGCATTCAGCCATTTAACGAGAGCTCAAACAGAAGAGACGCAGATGTGTACAGCTGGCACAACGTTTTGACCGTATTCGATTTTTGAGGGCACAACGCGGCCAACATTCGTAGAAGGAATGTCAGTTTTGAGGAGCTCGAAAACGGTCCAGCCTCTGTGATCGAACTGTCTGTGTTTTTTCGGTTTTTTTTTCTCCAGAAAAATGGAGAATTCTTGGAAAACATCGGAAACGTTGTTGGGAGAATCGAGTTTGGGAGAATCGAGGATGGTGGGCAGGATGGGGACGGGGATGTCTTGACGAAAATTTTCCCCAACGGCAGAACGTGCCATTTTCGAATTCGCGCCGCATGTGTGGTAGGCAGACTAATGTTTGTTCAACACCTCCACCCTCATTCGTATCTCTCCTTTATATCGCCAGACTATTAGGTCTTTCTTCCCGATTAGGTGTTTTCCATTCGGTATTTTTCTTCAGGTCTGCCTGTCTGAGTCGGAAACTACAACTGAAGGTGAGAAGGAAGCGACATGGATAAAAGAGAGGTTGGGCATCATTGAGGATGATCTGCTTGAAGGTGCTTACATGGATATGCTACAAGCGGAGTGATTGCAAATTAGTGTATCCGTTTCAAAGGCATCGGTTTTCTTCAATTGAATGTTTTTTTGGGCTTTCCACGCAAAATTTTCCGTAGCATCATTGAATTGCGCACGGTTCTTACATGAAGATTCTCAGGTCTCTCACTTTCACGTCACTGAGCTCTTTTCATCCTTCCATTGCCTCACCTACATTCGTTTTCAATGCTTTCAAATAATTTGATTCCCAACTGTTTTGTTCGTTGTTATGTAATAAAAGAGATCAGTTAGGTGATACGTGAGCTTGGATTTTGAAAATGCGGTGGATCTACAGATGCTTGATTTTGGCGCTATGCAACGCGGCCGAGGAACTCATGGTGACTCTGGGTCTTTAGCACTGTCCGTCTTCACATGATGTCAGACGTCCCCAACATGCCTAAACTGATTTGCCTGTCTCTTCTGGAAGCCCATAAACCTAACAACTGCGTTTCACGCCTAGCACTGATTGGCCGCTAATACAACAATGTGCGTTTTATCGCATACCTAAATACTAGGTCGAAGTCCTGCGACACTTTGAGTGTATTGTTCCAGAAAAAGACCGAAAAAGATTTTGGATGTTTTTGATTAGTGGAGACTGTCCTCTGGGGTTTCTTCAGATTGGTATACCATGACTTTATGGAAGCTTTCAAAGCTTGAAGACAATTCCCGCGATCAAGTGTTGCGGGTAGTTGGTGCTCCGTTATGAACCAACATCCCATAAGTAGCTCCTCAGTAGGAAAAGAAGGGGAAAAAAACTCGGAAACACCCTAAACACAGACCTCCCCTCAGCAGTCTTGGACGAGTGCGTCGGGCGTGAAGCACGCGCGCTCCATAGCGACTGGAGAGCAAAGCTTGGGCCGTGGGACCGTGTGGTGAGCGCTAGACAATTCCTGGCCAAGCGATGCGATATTCGCATTTGGAGGTCTGCATACAGAACTTTCAGCCTTTTTCAGAAACCAGTCGGATCGCCCGGTTGACGCCAAGCTCTCCCCTCCCTCTCTTCAGCTCAGCTTCGCCAGGCGCGCTCCATAATGGGAAACGGAACTCTTTCAATCACTGGGTTGCTCATACGACGCTGTATTGGTCGAATCATAACAGGTAGAGCAACTCTGCGGATCCTGCACTCTTTAGCAAATGATTATACTTGCGATCTGCGCCATAGCGCCCATACAACAATACACAGACCTATAGATAAAGATACGAAGTGAGTCGATCAATACAGCGCTTGCTGAAGTATAAACAATTGAGGGTACTATACTCCCTTGTTATTCGCTCTCATCAGTAATTGAATGTTCGAAAGAGAAAAATTCTCAAAATTTTCCTGACTTTCCTGTTTCAAGCGTACTACATATCCCCCCCCCCCGCTCGTCGACATCGACGTTATATGTAGTAGGATAGTGGGATGGGTTCATTTTCTGTTATCGGGAAAGTGATGGTTAAAGGAAAAGTTAGCCTCACTGAGCCTTCTGGGTCCCTGCCATTCCTACTGAGGCCATTCCTACTGAGGCGCAGTCGGATCACTTAGCAGTGTAGTGGTCATAGATGTCGCGAGAATGTCCCCTTATCCTTCTTATCAATTGATAAGATTGCCTGTCACCCGTCATCAGTTCCACATCACTAAAGCTCTATAATTTGGTAGTGTAAAGGTCCAACACTTTGACTGAACAACAACGGTAACGTTATCCTTATCAGCCCATATCAGCTGTTATCACCCCCTTCACCCTCCGTCGATGTTCTCATCTCCCACTCAATATCATTTTCTGAAATCAACGAACCTAGTTGTTGCCGCGTTGTGAGTATAATGACCTTCCCATTCTAACTCCCCTTATCTCAGCTGCTAGCACTTCTTGTCACCCACCAGTAATAATCGTGTGCCATAGCCTATCCCACACCTTGACCTAACGTCAAACTATTGCTATGACCCGCGCTATGGACACGGTACCCCTCCCCTTCTGACGCCTCTTATCAAGTCTTATCAACTGATATCACTCCCTGCTACACACCTCTCCCATACCCTATATCGTACCTCGGAACTAGCGTACTGCTACTGTTGTGACCCGCGTTATGGACATGATGACTTTCCCCTTCTAACGGCTCTTATCGGATCTTATCAACTGATATCACTTCGTGTCACCCACCACTGATTTACCTCTCCTACAGCCTATACCATACTTTGAAATTAACGTTACAGTGTTGCTGTGTCCCGCACTATGAGCAGGGGTCCTCATATTCTGACGCCTCTATGGGATCTTATCAACTGGTATCACATTCTGTCACCCATCATTGGTGTTCCCGACACACCCCCTACATTACGTCTCGAAGAATGTCTCACTGTGGGACCGGCGCTATGAATTTCGTGACAAACAGACAGAGGCACACAAAAACACACACACACGGACATACATACTTAGGCAGTGTTCCTTCTCGACATCAGCGGCGATCGCGGCGACCTCGACGACCTCCGGAGATCGCCGCGATCGTCGGTACTGGCAGGATGCGCCCCAACGTATTACTTGCGCTCCGAAAGCTTTTGGGAAGAGCGACTCAATTTCATAGCTTTTTTCCTTTAACTGCACATCTTTCTTAGATACTGAAGCTTGGTTTGACACAAAGAAAGGTGAACCCAACTTGATGGCTTTTGTTTTCTATTTTCTTGCTTGACTTCAGAATAGAAATGAGCAAAAAGCGTGAGGAACTTCATTTAGGGTAGGTTTTTATTGTTTCTTTTTTTCATTCTTCGGAGCTTATGCATTGAGGATATAACGTTTTCACCTGTTGATGTTCGTAAAATGATTAGTGTTTGGTTCCTAGGTGAGTTTCTTTTCTGTCCTTTTTTGTTTCTTCGTTGTTTGAACTCGACTTGTGAACTACAAATGTTTTTGGAAGTTGGAACAGTTCAGTCGATAGGAATATTCAAGGCGCTTGCATAAATTTAAATAATAAAAGCAAACGAAACAAAAAGAGCTCACCCAGGAAAATTGGAGTCGGCCTTATTCTGATCTTCAAAGAAGTGAAACCACCTTATCTTGTATTCAGATCGCTTATGTATAGAAAGTCGTAAGTTATATGTTAGTAGCCATTATTAAGAGAAAAGAACGTCTCACAAGTTGGATTTCCTTATTTTGTCGAGCGACGCAGTCCATAATTAGCGTTGGGCACGCTCTGGCAACGTACCGACGATCGCTGAGATCGCCGCAATCACCGCTGCTGTAGCGAGTATGAACGTTGCCTTTAGCGAAATTATATACAGTAGGATAGTGGGATGAGTTTATTTTTTAGTGCTGTTAGAGAAGTGATGGCTAGAGGAGAAGTTTGGCACTGAGCCTTCAATAGTTGGCGGTATAGTGGCAGGAAGTGTATTTGATAATGGCCCCTTATCATTTCTTATCATTGATAAGATTGCCTGTTACCGTCATCAGTTCCATGTCACTAAAGCTTGTAATTCGGTAGTGTAAAGGCCAACGCTCTGACTGAACAACAACGGCAACGTTATCCTTAACAGCCCATATCAGCTGTTATCGCCTCCTTACCCGCCTTCGATGTTCTCATCTCCCACTCAATATCATTTTCTGAATCAACGCCGAAGTGATGCTGTGTCCGGCGTTGTGAGTATAGTGAACTTCCCATTCTGACTCCTTAATCAAATCAGCTGCTAGCACTTCTTGCACCCATCAA